GTGTGTAGCGGTGAGTGTGTGTGTGTGTAGCGGTGAGTGTGTGTGTGTGTGTAGCGGCGTGTGATACTGTGTGTAGTGGTGTGTGTGTGTGTAGCAGTGAGTGAGTGTGTAGCGGTGAGTGAGTGTGTGTGTAGCGGTGAGTGAGTGTGTGTGTAGCGGTAAGTGTGTGTATAGCGGTGTGTGTAGCGGCGTGTGTGTAGTGGTGTGTAGTGGTGTGCGGGTGTGTAGTGTGTGTAGCGGGTGTAGCGGCGTGTGTGTAGTGGTGTGTAGTGGTGTGCGTGTGTGTAGGGGTGTGCGTGTTTGTAGCGGCGTGTGTGTGTAGCGGCGTGTGTGTAGCGGTGTGTGTGTGTAGCGGTGAGTGTGTGTGTGCGGCGGTGAGTGTGTGCAGCGGTGAGTGTGTGTGTGCAGCGGTGAGTGTGTGTGTGTGTGTGCAGCGGTGAGTGTGTGTGTGTGTGTAGCGGTGAGTGTGTGTGTGTGGCGGTGAGTGTGTGTGTGTGGAGCGGTGAGTGTGTGTGCAGCGGTGAGTGAGTGTGTGTGTAGCGGTGTGTATGTAGCGGTGAGTGTGTGTGCAGCAGTGAGTGAGTGTGTGTGTAACGGTGAGTGTGTGTGTGCAGCGGTGAGTGAGTGTGTGTGTAGCGGTGAGTGGGTGTGTAGGGGTGAATGTGAGTGTGTGTAGCGGTGAGTGTGTGTGTAGCGGTGAGTGTGTGTGTGTAGCGGTGAGTGTGTGTGTGTGTAGCGGTGTGTGTAGCGGTGAGTGTGTGTGTGTGTAGCGGTGAGTGTGTGTGTGTGTGTAGCGGTGAGTGTGTGTGTAGCGGTGTGTGTGTGTAGCGGGGAGTGTGTGTGTGTGTAGCGATGAGTGTGTGTGTGTAGCGGTGAGTGTGTGTGTGTGTAGCGGTGAGTGTGTGTGTAGCGGTGAGTGTGTGTGTGTGTGTAGCGGTGAGTGTGTGTGTAGCGGTGTGTGTGTGTAGCGGTGAGTGTGTGTGTGTGTAGCGGTGAGTGTGTGTGTGTGTAGCGGTGAGTGTGTGTGTGTGTGTAGCGGTGAGTGTGTGTGTGTAGCGGTGAGTGTGTGTGTGTAGCGGTGAGTGTGTGTGTGTGTGTAGCGGTGAGTGTGTGTAGCGGTGAGTGTGTGTGTGTGTAGCGGTGAGTGTGTGTGTGTGTGTGTAGCGGTGAGTGTGTGTGTGTGTGTAGCGGTGAGTGTGTGTGTAGCGGTGAGTGTGTGTGTGTGTAGCGGTGAGTGTGTGTGTGTGTAGCGGTGAGTGTGTGTGTGTGTAGCGGTGAGTGTGTGTGTAGCGGTGAGTGTGTGTGTGTAGCGGTGAGTGTGTGTGTGCGTAACGGTGAGTGAGTGTGTGTAGCGGTGAATGTGTGTGTAGCGGTGAGTGTGCGTGTGTGTGTAGCAGTGAGTGTGTGTGAATCGGTGGGTGAGTGTGTGTGTAACGGTGAGTGAGTGCCTGTGTAGCGGTGAGTGTGTATGTAGCGGTGTGTGTGTGTGTAGCGGTGTGTGTGTAGCGGTGTGTGTGTGTGTAGCGGCGAGTGTGTGTATGTAGTGAGTGTGTGTGTAGCGGTGTGTGTGTGTGTAGCGGTGTGTGTGTGTAGCGGTGAGTGTGTGTGTGTGTAGCGGTGAGTGTTTGTGTAGCGGTGTGTGTGTGTGTAGCGGTGTGTGTCGCGGTGAGTGTGTGTGTGTAGCGGTGAGTGTGTGTAGCGGTGAGTGTGTGTGTGTGTGTAGCGGTGAGTGTGTGTGTGTAGCGGTGAGTGTGTGTAGCGGTGAGTGTGTGTGTGTGTGTAGCGGTGAGTGTGTGTGTGTGTAGCGGTGAGTGTGTGTGTGTGTAGCGGTGAGTGTGTGTGTGTAGCGGTGTGTGTGTAGCGGTAAGTGTGTGTGTGTGTAGCGGTGTGTGTGTGTGTAGCATTGAGCACGCTGCCCTATGAACCCGGCCACCTGAATTTGATTCCTCTCATGGCCAACACCGGTGACGGTGAGCCAGTTCTGGGCCTCCCCTAGGTGGACTCAGCCTCAACACGAGTCCCTGGTGCGACGTGCGGTAAACATCGCCACTGGGCAGGGGGGGACAAAGGCGACCGGGCGTGGTGGTGCTTGCCGCTCGCAAGCAGCACTTTCCCCAGCGGTCTGTTGAGGCTATACGGAGGTTGTGGGATCTGGGGGAACGACCAAATAAGCTTCCAGCATACAGACGCTGAGGCAGACTTCCCTCAAGACTGTGCTGCATTCACTTGGTGTTCCCCGTACGTACACATCAAGATTGGTTTTGATGAGAACGATGCACAAATCCCAGCACTCCTTGACGAAAAACATCGCCTGCATGAAGCCTATCTGCATGGCAGCGGCTCAAGCTTAAAGAAAACTGCCTTCCTCAACATTCGCAGGATTTAGTAATAGGTTTTTACCCTTTTAGCTGGCACAAAAACTGACAGCTTTATACAAGGGATCATGTTTGCAATAACCACAACACAAGCAGTCAAAAATGCAAACAAAACGAGACAACTCTGATAATGATATGCACTGTCTTTGAATTTGATTGGTCCACACCCGAGACGGCTTTTCTTAGAGCCCAGTCTCCACTGGTGTTGGACCAGATGACACCATAAGGCGTACAACTCAAAACAGCGCACTATCAGAGTATTGAGAGCTCGGGGTAAGCCTTTACATTATGAGACCTCCTTTGCCAGTAACAAGATATAGTCATAGGGTAAAAACCTATTACTATATCTTGTTACTGGCAAAGGAGGTCTCATAATTCGCAGGGTCGTCCAGCGGAGACTCGGAGTCATGCATGACACCTGGCTGTGCGCAAAAGCTGCGGAGTTTAAGTCCTACGCTGACAGTAACAACACCAAGCGCCTCCGTGATGCACGCAAGCAGGTCCATGGTCCGCAACGTTCAGGAACTTCACCTCTCCTGAATGCAGATGGAACAACGCTCCTCACGGAGAAGGACGAAATATTTGCAAGGTGGGCTGAACACTTGAGCGCAGTCCTCAACCGGCCATCGTGCACAAATGAGGAGGCAATTGCGAGACTGCCTCAAGTTGAAATAAACCAGTCCCTTGCTGTTCTACCATCCATCGAGGAAACCAAGCAAAGCCATAAGCCTCCTCTCATCAGGCGAAGCTCCAGGGTCCGATGCCATTCCAGCGGAAATCTACAAGGCTGGAGGGCCTCGCTCAGTCGAGAAACTGACCGACCTCTTCCAGTCTCTGTGGAAATTAGAAGCCATTCTCCAGGAGTTCAAGGATGCCCCTACAATCCATCTCTATAAGAGGAAAGGCCATCGGCAGGCCTGCGACAACCACAGAGGCATCTCCATACTCTTCAATCGCTGGCGAAATCTTGGCAGGAATCCTTCTGAACCGCCTAATTGTCCACCATAGACCAGGGTCTGCTAGCTGAGAGTCGGTGTGGTTTCAGAACCACTGACATGGTATTTACTGCCCAGCAGTTCCAGGAGAAATGCCGAGAACAAAATGCTGATCTATATATGGCTTTCGTTGATCTAACAAAAGCATTCGACACAGTCAGCCGGGAGGGCCTATGGATGATCATGGCCAAGTATGGGGTGTCCAGACAAGTTCATTGGCATCGTGCGCAAACGCCATGATGGCATCATGGCTAGCATCAGAGACCAGCAATATAACTCTCTGAATCCGTTCCCAATCACAAGCGGGGTGAAGCAAGGCTGCGTTTTGGCGCCAGCGCTCTTCGGCGTGGTGTTTTCCGCCATGCTGCAGGACTCATTCCAGAACCGCAACACTGGGATTAGCTTCATCTACCGTTTTGACGGTGGGCTTATTCAATCTGCGGAGGATGCAGGCCAAAAACCAGAGTGTAGGAAGTCGCCGTTCGAGAACTTTTGCTTGCTGATGACTGTGCTCTGGCTGCTGGCTAAAATAAAGATCTACAGGACAGTACGGGGACCACTTCTCGTCAGCTTGTAACAACTCGGGCCTAACAATCACCACAAAGAAAGCTGAAGTCCTGTAACCAACCTGCTCCTGGGAAACCCCACACTGAGCCCCCCACCATCTTTGCGAATGGGCAAAAGCTTTCGGCCGCTGACACGTTTACTTACCTTGGTGGTGCTCTGTCTCGCGCTGTGCACGTAGATGACGAAGTTAACATCAGGATTGTCAAGGCCAGGTGCAGCCTTTGTTACGTCTACGTGACTCGGTATGGGAAAGGACTGGCATCAAGCGGGAGACAACACTGAAGGTCTCCCGGGCTGTTCTCTTACCAACTCTTCTGCATGGGTGCGAAGCCTGGACAGTCTGCTTAGCGGCCATGCCAAGAAATTGAACCATCTCCACTTGAGTTGTCTGAGGAAACTGCTGAGGATCAAGTGGCGAGACAGAATCCCTGACACGGAAGCCCTCAGCAGGGCCAATATCCCCGGCACCCATGCCCCTTGCTTGCAAAGGAACAGCTAAAGATGGACTGGCCACGTGACCGGAATGCCCTGCGCGAGACTGCCAAAACAAGCCTCCTTCGGCGAGCCGAAGAATGGCAAGAGCTTTGGGTTCGACCTGAAAAGCTGGGAAGCCCCCTAGCTCAGCACCGGCCTGCCTGGAGAAGGGAAGTACGGGACGGTGCAGTCCTCCGTGAGAGCAGGAGAAGCTCCTGTAGCCGTCTTGAAGAGGCAGCGGCGCAAGTCTACCAAGCAGGGACTCTGTGGCCGCACCTCAGAGCTCTACGCCATCCTCCCTGACCTGTCCAGCGTTGCCACAGAGAATTCCCGGCTCGGGTTGGCCTGTTCAGCAGCCTGCGCACCCATCAAAACCCAACAAGATGACGAACGTGCCATGGGTCATCGTCAACTACGGTGGACGAACGAGAGAGAAGAGAGACACGTGTTCCGGTGATAGCGCGTGTTTATTGGCATGCTGGTGTATTTATTAGCGTGCTCGTTCTAACTCCCCCCCGCCACCCGCCCCCTCTCCGCCCCCTTTCCACCCGCTACCCCCCTCCCTCTCCCCCTCTTGTTACCCCCACAGCGAGTGGGGGGCCGTGCCCCCTACTGGTTCCCGTGGGACCCCTGCACCCCGTCCAGGTGTTCCAGCGGAAGTTCGAGGCACCCCGGGGCTGTGTGAGCCACGGCCAGTTGCGGGCGGCACTGGACCCCGAGGTGCACGTCATCGTGCTGGGTCCCTTGCCTGACCAGGTGAGAGTGGGGGGCAGCTAGTGGGGGGCAGGTGACAGGTGAGTACGTCACCAGACAATCAGCCGTCTTATCCGCACCGTGGTTTCAATCATCGCCACGGACACGGCCGTAAGCAACGAAGACACAAGATCCCCCTGTGTAGCTCGCTGAGGTCGAGCGCTGTTTGCGAGCACCTATGAAGGCCGGCACGGCACGTGAAGGGGAGTCACGCACTCTTCACTCACACACTCACTCACTCATTCACTCAGCCACTCACACGCCCACACAACCACTCGCATGCACCAACCCACTCATTCACTCACCCACCCACTTACCCACCCACTCACCCACCCACTCACTTACCCACCCACTCAGCCACCCACTCACTCACCAACCCACTCTCCCACCCATCCACTCACCCACTCACTCACCCAGCCACCCACCCACGCACCCACTCACTCACTCACCCACTCACTCACTCACCCACCCACCCACTCACCAACTCACCCACCCACCCACTCACTAACTCACCCACCCACCCACTCACTAACTCACCCACCCACTCACCCACTCACCCACTCACTTACCCACCCACCCACCCACTCACTAACTCACCCACCCACCTACTCACCCACCCACCCACTCCCTCGCTTTGCACCATATTGAGAGTCAAGTACAGTCTGGGACTCATAGTCAGGGTCGGGATGGAACCCACGACCTCCTGTGTACCAGGCGAGGTAGTCAACATCTCCTAGCCACCGTGACTCCCAACAAAATCCGCCAACGTCGCCGCGACGTCCGCGCTGTGGCGTGTAACGTAAACACAAAAGACAAAGGTCCCCCGTGTAGCCTCAACAGACTGTTGGGGCAAGTGCTGTTAGCGAGCAGCACCGAATGAAGGACCGGAACGGCACACGAGGGGGTGGGTGGCCAGCACCACGCCCGGCCGCCTTTGTCTCCCCCAGCGGCGATGTTTACTGCACACCGCACTTGGGTACTCATTTGAGGCCGAGTCGACCTAGAGGAGGCCCAGGACCGGTTCAGATAATCGTCACTGATGGTGTTCGTGGCCGTGAGTGGGATTCGAACTCGGGTCGCCGGGTTCGTAGCGCAGCGTAGCGCTAACCGCTACACCACCGCTCACCGCACGTAACACACACACACACGGGCACACACACACGCATGGACACACACACACATGGACACGGACACAAACACACATGGACACACACACACACACGGACACAGACGGACACACACGGACACACACACACGGACACAAGTCACGGCGACCTGGGCTCCAGTCTCGCCCCCCACCCCCTGTGCATGCATCCAGGCAGGCACGGGCGCCGTTCCACAGGTTCCTCCTTCTTGTTATTAGTAGTATCGATCGTCACAGTGATGATCATCATCATCATTGTGATCATTATTCGCTCGCTCTCCTCTCCAAGTGAGAAGAGCCCAGTCGGAACGAGAATGTGCATCATCATCATCGTCGTCATCATCATCATCGTAATCATCGTCGTCATCGTCATCGTCGTCATCATCATCATCGTCATCATCATCGTCGTCATCATCATCGTCGTCATCATCATCGTCGTCGTCATCATCATCATCGTCATCATCATCGTCGTCGTCATCGTCATCATCGTCATCATCATCGTCATCATCATCATCATCATCGTCATCATCGTCGTCATCATCGTCATCATCATCGTCATCATCATCATCGTCATCATCATCGTCATCATCATCATCTTCTTCTTCACCGGAATTCAATCCGGCTCCGACGCTACGTGCCGCTGGCGAGAGACGTTCCACGTTGCGTACAATCCGATAATCCGCGAAGCTCTTTTCCACGGATTCTCAGTAAAGGGGGGGAGGGGAGTCAGAATGTCACAACAACAACAACCGCAACAACAAGAACACAAATTACAAAAACAAACGCGGCGGTGCTTGCGGGGCGAGGAGCGGTGGCGCAGCGGTTAGCGACACGGGGCTCGATCCATCCCCACCCGGGGGTTCGGTTGTCCGACTCGGGACTCGGGCGACACCATCGCTGGGGGAGACAAAGGCGGCCGGGCGTGCTGTGGGTTGCTGGCCGCCCCGACCGCCACGGCGCCGGCACTTCATCGGTGCTGCTACTCGCTGCCAACAGCACTTGCCCCAACGGGGTGGTAAAGGCTACACGGGGGATCTTTGTGTGTGTGTATGTGTGTGATCACAGCACTTGCCCCAACGGGGTGGTAAAGGCTACACGGGGGATCTTTGTGTGTGTATGTGTGTGTATATGTGTGTATGTGTGTGATCACAGCACTTGCCCCAACGGGGTGGTAAAGGCTACACGGGGGATC